ACCAGGCACTCTTGGTTTATTATCAACCAGCAGCATGACGTAATCGGCGACTTTTTTCTCAAGTTCCCCATGTTTCACATCTTTTCACAATTCTTTCACAACACCATACCTACAACAGCATGCTCTGTTTTGCTCCGGGTATCCGGTGACCTGAAGCTACCTTTGAAGCTTGTTGGTGATAGACTACATAGAAACTCACTGTCTCGCGCCTTTAATTTGTTTTAACTGCTGTCCCATTAAATATAAGGTTTCATAATTTATGCCATGTGCTTTCTAGCTAATCCTATACGTGTTATCTTTTAGCATTTAGCGAGGGATCCTGTTGTGCGAGTCTGAAATACGGTTTCGTTATTTTAATTTTTTTTAATTGATATCCTTTACAATAATTCTGCAGAGTCCTAAGCTATCCATCTATTACCAGCCCGGAGCCCGCTTCTCTCGCCATCCTTTGTTGTTAATGGCGACTCGGGAAGTGACGTATGCTCTATTTGTGGTCAGCTTCCACAAGGAATGTGGTATATGGCTTATAGACCGTTATGACCGGCAGTGGGTGAGCATCCGTCAGCCAGCTTCTACCGCGCTATAATTGGAGCCCGCACATGATATGAGGTGCGGCTGCTGTGTATAATCACCACCATGGGCAATCACCGTCGGTGTAATGTGACCGGACCTCAGGGACGAGTCCGCCGGCCGGCAGCGAGATGGGGTCACGACTCTGGCAGAGCGCTGCTGTTTCCCAGGTGGAAAATTGCCGACTGGGTGTCCAACGTTTTTGTCTAATGGTTTTCAGAAGCTGGTGTGTTCTCTGCCTTCTAAAGTCTCGCGCCGAGTACGCCTTACTTGTTGCCGATTGAGTAGTGCAAACGCGAGACTTTAAAACGACCGCACCGAATGACGCAAAAACTGGTAAAAGTTGACGTCAAACTTCTGAACTTAAGAACATTTCGGAACTTACCTACATGCTATAAATTTTGAAGGTGACTAAATTATTCAAGGTGTGAGTTAATTTAACTTCCGCTTGCGAACAATGCAAAGATATGTATTGTAAATCAATATGAGCTATCTGGAATCGGCATTCTGCAACAATTGATACACTGCGATTCTAAACATCAGTCATTTTAATTTGACGGTATGTTAAAGGTCATAGCTAGCTAACACCTTGATCAACTAAGATAGTTTTCTATCCAATAATTTGCCTTGGCCGACAGACGTCACTTAACCCGCGCCCTGATGGGGGGGCCATTTTGCCCCCCCCCCTGTGGTTTTTCTTAAATAGCGAGAAAACGGCGGCGCTGCAAATTTTGGGTACCTTACCGGGCATCAATTTGACACCTTCACACAAAATTTCAAGTCACAGGTCACCTCAGGTCAGGAGTTATTGAGGTCAAACTGAGGTCATGTTCGAGCAAAAATGAGCAAAAAACATGACATCTTGAAACGCTCACCAATTCTACAGTTAACAAGCAATTTTAAAGTTCTTTATGTGGTTGTGTAGAGAAAAGACGGCGCTACAAAACTGCTATCTCGGATTTTCGAAATTTTGGGATTTTGACCCCCAAAAATAAAAAAATGATTTTTTTTAGAAAAACTCAAAAATTTTCCAAAAAATTTTCGAATTTCGAAAAAACCGGAATATATGTGATAGTCCCTGCGCTCTTCGATATACATACCAAATTTTAGATCGATACCTCTTTTTTTGGCCAAGTTATAGCGAAAAAACTGTTAAAAATTGATGTCGTCAAATTTTTGAACTCAATTTTTAGCAATTCTAGACCTCGTAGCGCAAAACGGAGACCACCATTGAACTCCCCGTGACGAGCTGCATCGAATCGATACCCATTTTATGCAAAAATATCAATTTTGAAATTTGACCTAATTTGACCTGACCTTGACCTGACCTTGACCTGACCTTGACCAAAACGTGACCTAAGCTGGCCCTGAAGTCTGTCTGACCCACATAATCGCATTTGTCATGTAAAATGGACCATAAAACATGTATCACACGACACTTTCATATTGTGACCCCCCCAGTGACCTGACCTCTGTGACCTGACCTGGTATCAGTGACCTCAAATAGCAATATATGCGTTTGAAGAACATTTCTCCATCGATGATTTTCAATGAAATGCATTTTACTCGATTTTACAACGCATTTCTTGAAATGCCTGTAAACGGTGAAACTTCGACCTTTGACCTGACCTGTGACGTCATCGGTTTGACCGAGGTCAATGAAACTGGGTCACAAGGTAGTTCCCCGCTGGGGCTATCCAACACCGTTTACCGCTTGTCGCTATGTTGCGTGGTTCTCGAGATCTGAGGGGGGGGGGCCAAAATGGCCCCCCCCCCCCCATCAGACCGCGTTGCTCGGCAGACCCCATCTGGGCGCGGGTTAACTTTTGAAACTATTCGAAAAACAGGTGTCAGGGTCAGATGGCAAAATAGTCCCCATCCCCTGTAAGCTGTGTTGATGAAATATGTACACAGTGAGGTGCGGTCAACTTTGGGCCAGGTAAATATTAAAGCAAAGAATTAGCCGGTAACGTTGCATCCAGTCAAAATACGACCGCATGGAATGGGTTCAATTGTGATAAATTCGGAATATGCGGTGTTATGTTATGGCGCATGCGTCGCATAATGGCGCTAGCGTTCATATTCACGTTCGGTGAGCTATGGCTAGACTGCGAAAGCAGGTGCCGGAGATGGCGTTCAATCTTTCCTTGATGCTGTTTGGCGACGAAGCAACGTCGTGTGTGATGCATTGCTGCCTGTTGTAAAATTTTGCTTTGTTAGTGCTCTTCTTAGATGGTTCCTCTGCTTTTAGCTAAATTGAACCAGAATTTCTCATTGAGGCTGCGTTGCTTTATAACGCTGAGGCGTAGGTAGTGTGCCGTGTTTTATTCTGAGGTTTAGAGGCAGCCCGGCGAGCACTGCAGTGGTCCGTATTTTGAGCACCGGACCGCTCAGTGCGGCGCCGGCCGTAATGCGCCACCGTTTGTCACTGCGCCGAGTTCGCCACTGGCGGCGGTCTGCGCCAGAGTCCGTGAGCAATGGCACTCACTAAAACACCGGGCCGCCCTCAGGCCAATTACACACGTGCCACCGCTCCGGCCCACATCAGAAAACAATGGTCGGCCCTATCTGCGCGGCGGCCACCCAGCTGCACGGCCTGCCCTGGATTCTCGGTCTGGTTACTTGGCCTTGATTCGACTGCTCTCGTCACTCCGGAAAAATTGCTAATGCCTCAAGAATCATTTATGAAATTTTATGGCTCATTTCCTTCATTTTATATTATTTTTGCATCCATATGGCGTGATAGCACCGAATTTTGCAAACTTTTTCTTCTATAAGTCTTCTATAAGTTAATTCCGGTTTAAAGGAAATAGTTCACTTTCACGAAATTATTTTTTTTTCAATGGATTTATGATTTTTTATGTTCAAAATGATCAGCAAAGAATAACCGCAGCAGCAGCAGCAAAGAACCTATTTATAACAAAAGATTATTTTCTATATTTTGATATAAGAAGAACTTTTCAGTTTCTGTAAGGCACAGGCGATCCAGTATGAAAAGAGCATGGGTTCCGAAAATTCTTCAGAAACTAGAGAAATTATCGCGGCCACCGGCATTTGGGCGATCTGCTGCTGCTGAATGTCCTTATTGATCAGTACGAGAATTTCTCTAGAGTGCTCGTAGATAATTTCTCTAGTTTCTGAAGAATTTTCGGTACCCATGCTCTTTTCATACTGGATTGGAATATATGCAAGGCACACATCCTCAACGCAAGACACCTTTTTCGGGACGAGAAATAGAATATCTTTGCCTAGGGTGATCGTTGGGCTGTAAAAGCTCCTGATTTATGCTCGTCTCAGCCCAGGCTACGGAACTGCTATTCCAGTTCAAAACCCATGTTAAAAAGTGAACTATTTCCTTTAAATGCTCTGAAACGATTCTAATTAATTAATTCCAGAAAAGAATAAAACTATTATTTTGACACATTAATGAACTTATATTGTGACGGCTTTTCCGCTGCCTATATCAAGGATCTTGTTTATTTGTGTTGAAAGTATGCGAAGCAGCATTACTGTGGGCTTATGTCGCCTAACCAGAGAGCACTTTAGCTCGATCCGAGAGCACCTTACGCTTTCACTGCTTACCGGCGAGCGTAAACTTGAGTGGCAGGTCCTCTGTGAGTCGCTGGGCGGGCGGTGCTGGGACATACGACGGGTATGGTTACTGCCGCCGGGGTCGGAATACCGCTCCGCTCCGTCAGGGTGCCGGCTCGGCTGAAAGTGGTCGCTGAGGAAGGCGGTGGTGGTCGTAAGTTCGAACCCGTCTACTCCGGTACATTTGTCGTTACACCGTTACGCTTCCGTTGCTGCCACACTTGTCGTTATTGTGAGGCGGTTGCAGTTTTATATTTTAACATAATTTGGAGGTGACCTTGACGAATCACTTTGTTACTTATGACCTTTTCGCCTTGGACCCGTTAATCTAACTAGTAAATAGACGAAGATCTGATCAACTGGTAACTTTGCTGGTATCTGTGTTTTGTATTTATTAGACCCATGTCTGTCTCATCTCAGTCTTTCTCGCGGAGTTTCTGGCTGTGCCTTGTCCCCGAGCCCCATCCCCATGCCCATTTCCCCATTTTTGGGTACCCATCTGCGGTCATGCTGCTGCGTGTGCGGTTGTTTTACCTTTCCCGTGCCTCGCCCTCTGCAGTGCCGTCTGTGACGCTTTCTGTCCCTTCTCGGCAGGGTCCCGGCCTGCGGCTGTGCCGTGTTTGACCTTTTCCGTCCCTCCCTCAGCAGTGTCCCGACTGTGCCGTGTGACCCTCTCCGTCCCTCCTCAGCAGTGCCCCGACTGTGCCTTCTGTGTCCCTTTCCGTCCCTCCCTCCGCAGTGTCCCGACTGTGCCGTGTATGACCCTTTCCGTCCCTCCTCGGCAGGGTCCCGACACCCGACTGTGCCGTGTGTGACCCTCTCCGTCCCTCCCTCCGCAGGGTCCCGGCCTGCGGCTGTGGTACGGCGCCCTCGATCGCTACGTGGGCAGTCGCGGGGCGCGAATAGTCATCAGGAAGGTGGCGCTCGACCAGGGCGTGTTCGCTCCCATCTTCCTCGGTAACTTCCTGGTGGTGCTGGGCGCAATGCAGGGCCGCAACTGGTCGCAGATCAAGCTGAAGATGAAGCAGGAGTATAGCGACATCCTGTTCAACAACTGGAAGGTGAGGTGGCCCACCAGTCTTCACTGGCGCCTCTGTAGGCGTTTAGCGATGCAACGCTGTAGTCATACTTTTCGTTAGAATAAATGCCTTTGAAAAAAATTGTTTAGCGATTATCATGAAATGGTTTCCGGCTAGCTTGAAGTGTACTACGAGTTTTTTTTTTGCGCTGGTCTTATGTAATTTTTGTAGGCGATCCCAAAAAGTACCTTCGTAATTTACGGAGTGGTGGGAGTTCCCTTCTCCGATGACTTTTGTGTGGACTTTATTACGTCGACCGTCACATGGTACGCAAACAAATGCCTGCGTGATTTTTCTTTCACTGCGACGCTACTTATTACGGTCGCGAACGTGGGTAACAAACGCAGAGTATTGATATACAATTGGCATTGATAGACTAGATCCAAGAAGAGGCATGCCGTAAGGGAATAGATTGGGTCACTAACGAAATAAAATGTCGATTGTTTGCGGCTTCCCGCTGGCCGTTCTCGGATTACGGAAATTAGAGATGCCCCAAATTTGCAATTTCATTACCCGCCCCGCCCCGCAGCTACCCCTTGCCCAACCACAACTACCCGCAAGCTGATTTTGTCTGAGCCGAACCCGCAAAAAACCCGCAATCTTAAAAACATACTTTTGCAAGAAAAAAATACAGCTGAGTCAATGCTAGAGCTATATAAACCTTACTTGCTTCATTGCTGTGCAGAAAAAGACAGCCAAACAAATAGTAAGGACTTGAAATTGCTATGCTAAGTCCTCAGGAAGTGCACACTGGATAGTGGAAAATGAATAATGCATCAATACATTTGAAATTCCTTTCTGAAGAGTTCAGTAAAATCTTTCTCTCACCTTACCCTTCAGCATTGGCTGAGGATCAAAATTTCACTCTGGCTCCCTCTCAATGTTAGGCCTCTGGAATGATATTGTTATCAAAATGAATGTTGATATAAAAAGATATGCGATTTCCAGTTAAAAATAAATAGTGACACAGTGAATAATGAGTATCCAGTCGATCTACACATAAAACAAATCATGCAAAATCCCAGCAAAAACCAACTATAATAACATATATGGCCTTGCAACTAACCACCAATGAACCACGCATTTCTGGAAACATGCGTCAGAAGCGTCACCAACAGCTGATGAAGGAATGTTACAGCGACTAAATTATTGCGGCCGTAGTTAGTCGAACTTGTTGCGAAAACACTGTTGTATAATGCATATTCATGTGCCATTCTGATTAAATTATTTTACACAACAGCTAAAATTTTACAATTTAGAGGTTAATCACCGGTTTAGAAATAAAGAGACAGTAAATACTAAATTAAATGTAATGATTTTATAGATGGTCTTGGTAATGCTCTCCGGCTGGTCATCTGTCGGCATACAAATGATAAGGACGTAAAAAGACAAAAGAAATAAATGCGACCAGCTACGTGGTTTTGTAACATGTATAACTGCTATTTTGAGGCATTCAAAAACCAAGACAGAAAAACTGATTGAAAATTATTGCGTCATCAATGACAGCTTTCCTTCACCTCAGAGACCAAAATTGACGCAGTCAAATGCCCATCCTTGTCAGAATGTCGGAAGTGCGCCAGTATTGTATTGCGTTATGTTTGGGCCGGCCAGTCTATATTTTGATTTTTTGTAAGGGTGATTGGTGTGTTATTTTCGTAATATAGGGTGGAACAGAACATAGAGTAGGATAGGTAATCAATGAATTTGCATCAAATTTTGTTTAGCTGATAGCTCTTTTTTATGCCGACCAGACGCAAATAAAGTAACATGTGGCATTTGCTCTGATTTTCAACATCTCATTTAAGTCTGGGTTCTTCCATAATGTATATCTAGTGCACACTGCACAGTGCACATAGACTTCAGTTCAGCTTCCTATAAGTTTGCTTTCAGGGTCTTTTATGTTTTATGGAATGCTTTCATCAGCATTTATTTATGCTTAGTAGTTTATTGCTTGTACCCTGGTTTGGTCATTGCCAGACTGTGGATGCTATTGCTGGTTGTTTTCAGTTTTGCATTTGAAATGTGCTTCCTTGATATATTTTTATATTTGGTTCTGTTTTAAAAGTTGTTTTGATGAATGTTGTATTGTTAACCTGAGCAAATGCACTTGGCATTGTGTTTTGCATCTAAAAAAAAAAATAAAAAAAAATTATAGGTTCTTAAGTCTGACCGCCAAATACCCGCCACACGACAAGTTTTGCTTCTCAAACCCGCCAAAAACCCTGCGGGTTTTGAAAACCCGCAGAAAGCGGGTTCGCGGGTTCAAAAAGGGCATCTCTAACGGAAATGTCAGTGGTTCCGTGATGTGACTGAGAGACGGCCACGGCTGGCTGCATCGGTGCTCGATGCGGGTCTTCCTTACCAGAGGGACTGGCCTAGCGACTGATGCATCGTCGCGCACGGACCGCTGAACTGGCTTCCTCTGCGTGTGCGTCCTATACTCGACCGGATTTTAGCATTCCGCCCACTTCGGCCGTAAAAGGAATGCTCTCTCAAACCAAAGAAACAAACTAAGATGCATAAACTTGACCTGCGTGACTGGTGTCGTAAGTCTTCCGAAGACAATACCAACGGGACGTCGACCGTTTTGGTCGCCGTGTCACGCATTTTGGTCCATTTACGTGCATTTTCTTACACGTGAAAGCTGCGTCCATTCGTAGCACGAAACGCCTCGTCGTTTTTTAATCCCCTAAATGCGGGACGGTATCTAACTGCCCATTGTGCGTTTAGAGTGTATAGGGTCTGGCACAGCGGTTGATCACTTCAGTGATAGCTGTCGCATATTTTGCGGGTGGTCGAAAAAAATATGAATTTTATTAAGTTTTTATAACGGCGCGTGTACGTGTCAGAATACCTATTCTTGAGCTCTGTCTCCATGCAATCTCTGTGCAGGACGTTGCTCGAGTCCGTCCCACTCAGCTCAACTTGTTCGCCGCCAGAGCTGAGACTGAGGTGCACTCGGTCCGGTCGTCCGTTTGAACACCCCCAGGGGTGCCCTTACCAGTTAGGACTGCCGTGATTACTCTCTGAATAGACGTCCGTCTTTAGCGGAGATGCTTCTCGAGGATCGAGCCCACTGATGGGTTAATGTCGAGGGCTGTTGATGGCAAACTTAGGTACAAAGTGTCTCATCGGCTGCCACTTAAACCGTGTCGAATAGGTCACCTAGCCAAAGCTGCTAAAGGAATGACTGAACATGCACAATGCACAATGCAGATTTGAACCGCGTTACTTGCACTCTTGTTCGGAGAAACGGTGAACGGAGCTTTGATCAGGTGAATTAAGACTATAGTGTAATTAAATGGATTTAGCTATATTGCATTATGAGTTAGTTTTCTTAACTGGAAATGGTTTTCCGACGTCATGATTCAAAGGATTGTTTCCACCAGGGATGCGGAGCCGTGGAAATTTCAGACGGCTCCGGCTCCGGCTCCGGCTCCGGAGGAAAAAATCGACTCCGGCTCCGGCTCCGGCTCCGGGTGAAATGTTGTGGCGGCTCCGGCTCCGGCTCCGGCTCCGAGTAAAATGGTCCGGCTCCGGCGGCTCCGGCTCCGGCGGCTCCGGCTCCGACTCAGTACATCCCCTATGCAATCAATTAAATACGAGTGGAAGAAAAATTGGATTGGTTATACGCGTTACTCTTTGCCATGACCGGCTCACCGCGTCCCCGCGCAAACGCACCTCGGAGAGAACTGGCAGAACAAAGGACTAGGAAGCGATGGCATTGGAAACGCAGTCGCCGCGAATTGGAGTTCACTGAACCATCGTAAACTGACACCAGTCTCGGCTGCATTGGGGGGTGGGAGTGGGGGGGGGGAGGGGAAGAGACGGTGCTGGGAGTCGCAGTCCACTGCCACTGGCTTGAAAACAATGGCCGTCACCTGATGACCGGTCCTCATGTTCTGGGGATGCAGTAGACGTGGGGGGAGGGAGGAGCAGACAAGAAGTTGATTGCGTAGGTACTGTGGGATACTGGGGATATTCGGCTTTTTTTCATTCACTTGATGGCCCATGACGTAAGTAAAGTACCATATGTTTTACTGCCTTGTACTGTCAAACCGAACTAGGTCAATTATTTTTTTTCCTCTTCAGAAAATAAAAAGGAGCCGGAGTCGCCCCCTTTTTTGGCGGCTCCGGCTCCGGCTCCGGCTCCGGGCTATATTGTTTCACGGCTCCGGCTCCGGCTCCGGCTCCGGGCAAAATATGTCGGCTCCGGCGGCTCCGGCTCCGACTCCGGCTCCGGCTCCGCATCCCTGGTTTCCACAGAATATGTGGCAATCGTTAACTGACGTTGTTCCGTTTTACGTTCTCGGAATGACTAAAAGCACTGTAACTATGAACTTCGCAACAAGTCAGTTCCAGCCAAGTCATTTGTTGGTTAAGCTTTTCGTGTGTTTAATTTCTGTCACCTCTGTCACGGTGGATGTAATTTGTCATTTACAGCCATTGCTATGTTACTGTCGCTTGCATTAAATTAAATCAAACAGTTTAATTCCGTAATGTATGTTCATTGTTCAAAACATCTACGACCTAGACATTTTCTCTCGGCTCGTGTATAGTCGTTTAATGTTTTCGTTTCGCTTATTGTTTATTGTTTATTGTCACAGTAGCAAACCAGATCCGCATAAAATGGGCTATTCCCTGGTCGTTGTCAGTAAACACTTCATAACGAACAACACATAACACTTTTAAAATCAAATACTGCGACACCTGATAAAACAGCTAAAAATCACCTTCTCCGAGCTATGATCATTGTAATCTAGAAAGCTTTAGGTGCTTTTTGAATTGGCTCAGCGTAAGTCTGTCTGCACCCTCGGCTATAACAAGCTTATTGTACAGTGTAACAGATCGGTAAATAAAAGTACGCTTTCCATGATTCGTTTTTACACGTGGCAAGCTAAGATAGTTCGATGTGCGCGTGTCACGTAACGTTCTGTCGCGATTAGTGTGGAGGTACTGGGCTATTGAATCCGGCTGTCCTGTTCCCCAGATCTTGTGCAGAAGGCACAGGTCCGAGTAATTGACGAGCTTTTGGGCCGGTAGCCAGCCCAATGAATCGATACAATCAGAAATGTGGTCATATTTTCGTCTTCCTGATACTACTCTTGCTGCGAAATTTATAACTTTTTGCAACTTGGCAATTCGCCCAGCGTTGGCACTTCCATAAACCTGAATGCAATAGCGCACGTGTGACAGAACTATTGCATCAACAATTCGAGGCAAGAGATGATGCGGAAGAAGGTGGCGGGCGCTGGCTAGACCTATTAAAATACCGGTACATTTGCTGACAACTTGCTCGACATGCGGTTCCCACGACAAGTTACAGTCCATTTTAACACCGAGGTTTTGAACACACTTGGCTGGCTGTAAAGTTTCGCCTAAAAACTGCACATTAACTTGCCCTTCCCCTACGTACTGCAGCTGACGCCTATCACCTATCAGTATCATCTCAGTTTTCGCTGCGTTTACTTTCATTCCATTCTGAGCGAACCAGGTGCCCATAATTTCGAGCAACTGACTAAGGGCAGTTTGTAGCTCTCCGAGACGGGTGCGGGGCCCCGTGACACCGATTTGTGTATCGTCAGCGAATCTGGTCATTATAACCTTAAACCCGTTGACCGAATTTGGTAGATGCAATGCTAAATCATGAGTGGCAATATTAAACAACAACGGGCCGAGACAAGATCCCTGGAATGTACCAATATTTATGTCTTTAGATGACGACAACACATTTCCCAAGCGTACCTGTTGCTTATGACCTTCCAGGTAGCTTCTAAACCATCCCGAACTGATCTGGAGCTGCTCTATTTTTGTAAGCAATGTACAATGGTCAATCACGTCGAATCCCTTAGATAAATCAATCAAAGCCAAAAGTGTGATTTCCGAGTTGTCCATCCCGCGCAAAATGTGCTCTGTCACAGTTAAAAGTGCAGTACTAGTGGACCGATTCTCAGTAAATCCATGCTGATCTGCGCTACATAAACCGTTTCTGCTAAGGTACGAGGTTACTTGCCGATGTACAATTTTTTCAACGATTTTACATATCACTGGTATGTTTGTAACCGGTCGAAAATTTGATGCATCCGCTGGGTCCCCCTTTTTGTACAATGGTATGACCAACGCTCGTTTCCATGACTCGGGCACTGTCTCTGACACCAGGCTGCAGTTAACAATCTGGAGCAGGACTCGTCCAATAACGCCAAAACTCTGCTTCAGAACGGATACCGGTATGTCACCTTCGATACATGTTGCACGATTCGGCATCGAGTAAATAACCGCTCGCAGCTCGTCTCTAGTAATCGGCATAAGATTCAACACATCAGTGTGGACGCGATTCAGACGGGTGTGGAGCGGCGCCCGACCGGACTGTACAAACTCCTTCACCACAGATTCTCTAGTACAGGAACCCACACTAGTAAAGAACGCATTTAGTTCTTCAGCAGAGAGGTTCTCTAGTTCCGTCGGTGCCGTCTTTCTGGAAGCGATAACTGGCCGAATTTGTTGCCACATCCTATTTGGCGGAGCTTCGGCGACTCGCTGCTCCACGCTGCTGCGGTAGTCAGCGCGTATCGCCCGTTTGACCTCTGCATTGAGCTGGCGGTACACTTCTCCGTCATTGGTGGCTTTGGCGTCTCTCCGTCGTTCTATCAGCTGTCGGGTGTCTTCGCTGATGGGCGGTGGTCGAGGATTGTGCACTCGGTAACGCCTAACTGGGACATTCCGGTCGAGTATGCCGTTAACAGCCGTGCTGAATGCATCCCACTGGTCTCCGATTGTGTCGGCTCGCCTGACGACTGTGTGCCAATCTACGTCCGCCAGGTCCCTCAGCAGGCTGTTTGTGTCGAGTGCTTTCCAGTTTCTGCCGAATCTGTACGTGGGCTTCATTCGAATTCGTCGGACCTGAAACTGCACTATGACTTTTAAATGGTGGGCTGTGTACCCGCAGTCTCGTACGTCCCACTCGACGTCCCTGTGATGTTCTGAGCCGGTGTCCGATATCAAGATGTTGTCTAGAATTGATTTTGTGTCGTTACGATGGAAAGTTGGTTTTTTGACCAGCAGTTGGAGATGATACTTGATGTAGATCCTTTAGTCTGTTGAACCCGCCTGGGTTTGTTAACGGGTCGGAGTTAAAGTCTCCCGTGATCACCAGTCTGCATGTTTCATGCTTGCTTATGACCGTCTGTATTTGTTGTTCGAGGTCGTCGTAATCTCTGTCGATCTGAGTGCCAGATGTAGACGGCGGCCGGTATACGCAAGCGATGATTGTTGCTCTTCGTTTGTCGATTTTGACTTTCAGCCAGATGGATTCGACATGGGACTGTTCATGTTGAGGTCGAGTGTGAAGGCGCTGCACCTGCATTGGCACCTTCACTGCAATTGCAACGCCTCCTCCCGACCTCTTCCTGCCGATCTTTCTGTCGGCTCGGTATATGTTGTAGCCCGGGATGTTGACAAGTCGGTCGGGTGTGTGGGCCTTGAGGTTTGTTTCTGTATAGCAGAGTATATCTGCGTCGCTGATGCTGGCATCTGCTGTAATATCGGGCAGCTTCGGTAACAACGACTGAATGTTCAGTAACTCCAGCCGGACTTTTGTTGGTGCGGTCTCCGGCAGGCTCATCCCTTGTCGGACTTCTGGCCCAGCCGAGGTAGTGCCGCCGCTCGTCTCAGCGGCCCCGGTGCGTGGCAGCCCGGTGGCCCCTCCGAGTTGCAGCAGCGTCCGGCTTTCGGTGAGTCTGGTGGGCCGGACCAGGCAGCGGGAGTCTCTCCCACGCTCAGCCGAACGCTGTGCGCGGGCTCCACGCGACCATGGTCCGGGGCGACGCTCTACACGAACGGAGATAACTTCCCCAGCGTCCCAGGCGCCCTCAGGTGGTGGCGGGGTCGTCACTTTGTGTTGTACCAGGCGTTTGTTGTTACTGCCGTCCGTCTGCCTCTGTAGTTGGTCATCGGTCTCATCAGTCTCATCTCGCTTACATTTTTTGTGGCTTTGAACATGAAGTGGAATGCGTGTTTTCTTCTCGAATCACCAAGCAATAAAGGCTTGCATACGTGAATTGAATGTCATAATTCCTTTTGATATTTAAAATATCCAGCGCAGTTCCGGTTACATCAGTCCATATGAATTTTACTTTCTCAAATGCCAGCTACTTTGAACACAAATATATACTCGGCCAAACATCATACTTATCCGAGACGTGCTAACTGGTCTCAAAGGGTCCCGGATAAGCCATCTTAGGTGTACCACATGTGAGTGTCGTAACTCATCCCTTCTGCTGGCATTATTATATTTTAAGCGATTATTCCACTTCGGAATTGGGTAGACCAAATTCGATTATCCAGGCCGGTTCCTAGCAACAGAGGTAATAAATCAATGAAGAAGTAGAACGCACCTCGGAAACTCTGCCACAAGTTTAAATTGCTTCGTGGGAAATTCGGAAACGTATGAGTTCTAGTTACATCGTGTTGTTGTATTAATAGGGAGTCAGTTAAAATTTTCAATTCATTCATGTACAGTATTTCATTTTGAATGCGCACATGCCGTTATCGATGGCGTCATCATAAGATGCTTTCCCATGTGCAGCCCTTTTCCCTTTCGTAACCGCGCCCGCCCCGGTGCGGACGATATAGCTCTCTATCCGTCGTACTGAAACGTGCCGACAGCAGAGCAGCCTTACGTTTTCTGAGGTTTGTTGTGCGCTGACGGCGGAACACTGTTTTGTTGAGTAATCAATTTTGTTCTACTCTACTGCGCCGCGATCTGGTGCCATATTCTCTCCCCTATCATTTTCATGTGTTGTGCACTCACGGCAGAAGGCCCTCAGTTTCTGTTGTGTCGTGTTGCGTGCTGAAGACAGAGCAACCTCATGTTTAAATTATTTGTGCTGTATCGTGTACTGACAGCAAATTGCCCTCCCTTCCCCATGCAGTGTTATGTGCTGGCAGGAGACCCTCTCACAGGTCCTGCTGGTACGGTCTGTGTTTTGACACCTCCGCCCTCTGTTCCAGTTGTGGCCAGCGGCGCAGCTCGTCAACTTCTACTTCATCCCGCTGCACCACCAGGTGCTGTTCGTCCAGACGATAGCCATCTTCTGGAACACCTACCTGGCCTGGAAGGCCAACAGTAGCACAATCAGTGAGGAGAAAGAGGCGGCGCCCTGACAGTGGCCTGTCGGGGTTAGTAGTGGCAGTGGGCCGGGCTTGGCGGGTAGGTGACTGTTGATGACAGTTGAACTGTCATTGATTACGGCCTTCAGGGTTAGTAGTGGCAGTGGGCCGGGTCAGGAGGGTAGGAGACTGTCTAGTGTCTGTGGATGACAGTTGCACTGTCATTGGCAGCGGGCTGGGTGGGTAGGTGATTGAGGATGACAGTTGAACTGTCCTCGGTAGCGGGCCGGGCCTGGTAGGTGACTGTCATTAGATGACAGTTGAACTGTCATCGGCGGCGGACCAGGCCGGTTAGGTAACTGCGGCACATGAACTGCCATTACCAGCGGCCGTGTCGGGGTGACGCCCTTTGCCCGACGCCCGCATGCTGCCTGATGCAGAGGGAGATTATCTTGGGACGTCGGCGCGTACGCTTCTCAGATGGTTAGAGAGACGCGCCGAGGGATGCTTGGGAGATGGACGAGCCGGCGTGGGCCGGGTGAGTGGGTAGGTACTGATGCGGGGCGCACACAGACGGGACACCCGCGCTGTGGGGGATGACTGGGGCGGCCGGGTGATGTGGTACCCCGTACAGCGTTATTGTGACGCTCAGGGGCTGCCCGACAGTTACGAGCTCAGTGCTGACGGTCTATGGCCGGTGCACAGAATCAATGCAAGGGCTACAGCGCGCTGTCGCATAATGTGGATGTGACTGCTCGTTCCTATGAGGGTGAAATTGTGCACTGTCGTTGAATCTGGGATCATATCGGTGTCTAAGCTGCTGAGTCAATATTTAAAGTTATTAATTTAATGCAACGATGGTAACTGTTGATCTGTGCTCGGCACATTCACATTGAACAGACAGATCCTCTTCGAAATCGTACGTTGAGAAGCATTGCAAATGCTTTAAATTCACATTGATAAGGAAAAGTAACTATGTTGCCTGATATTGCTAAGCATGGCTTGATGAATGGGCTCAAAAATGATTGCCAGGATTTTTCACATGACTCCTACGATCCGAAAATGAGAGTATGAAACGTAATGAAGCCGATATTTCAAAGTGTATCATATGTAGTGTGCATAATGCGATGCCTACAAGACACGGGTCACAGCTTCAGAGCAGTTCGCCGGGTTCCTGACCGAAGGATTGACAATCATTGACACTTGCAGATCTGTTATTGACATATGAAATATGTGCTGGGCTTATCTTTCTTACTGGATATCCTGCGTATGTCACATTTGCATTGGCTTGTATTGTTTTAATTCAATGGTTTCAAAAACATGATGATGTTTCGTTTTTTTATACCGATGCATTAATATTGTACAGGGTTTATTGAAAATATCATTTGACAGTTATATCCACAAAATGAATGTGTTTCGCTGTAGGTATGTTGGTTGCGTAGACATTCAGGAAACCTTGGTGAATATTTTAGTAGAAATAATGGGCTTTGTGTGAAGACTGAATGACGCATTGCTGGCAGCGTGTGCAAGTACGATGATATTTGTGTGATTCTTTGTTTGAAGCTGGGCGAAATACGCACAGCTCTTTTTGCAATACATTGAGCGACCATTAATGCCATTTTGCTGTAGTGATGCGTAGAAACAGATTATTGAGCTACTTGTTAAATTGATTTGATTTGTGGTCCGCAGTATCGGCTGAACTTGAGCTGAAGCGTTATTCGTGGTTTGTTTTGCACGTTTATTTCATTCCCTCAGGCTTCCTATTTTTCCGCTTTCTCTCGATAGGCGAACCCTGAATTTGTGTATCTGGCACTTAATCTGGTTCGGTCTGGATAATGGAACGTAATGGAAATGGAAATGGAACATCTGGTCTGGATAATTGAGGCATTTTTTGTTTCCATAATTACCTTTCCGCTTAAAATGGCCAACAATATCCAACCCTGAATGTGAAGGAAGACACAACATGCAAAGTCAGCTATAATGCTCATCCATTCATGTTACGCATATCACCAACATGAACATAAACACCCATAGGTGACTTATAAGTGTTTATTCTAAACGCTACGTTCTCGGAAGAAAACGTAGGCCAGTAACGTCCGCTCTGCCGCTCAATAAATAGGTACGCAAGTACATCGCACACAGTCAAAGATGGAACAGATACACTGTGAACTCGATACCTACTTCGGAGAACACCAAGCGGTCTCAGGCTAACAGCAGATGGTTGCGGGGAGACCCAACACGCGGAATCGGGCTGGAGTCAACTCGTGTGACACTTTTAGAAGGAGTTTCTATCTAGTGTATACTGTATATCCTAGAAAGGATGCAAGCCTGTTTTCTAGTGTCATCGAACCAAAAAGCCATTTGTGTGAACATTCGCTTAGAGACCTCTAAACTGTACAGCTATTTCATATGAACGTCGTATATAGTTATTGCCATTTTTGTTACACTGCTTATCAAGCCAACATAAATACCACGTAATTTTGTTTTGACAGAGGCAAAGCAAAAAAAAAAACGTCCGAGCAGCCGCTGCCGCGAATATGTTTAGTCTATTCAACACATGCGGTTCTGTTCTGAGGTGATTGTCATGACTGTCGCTCCTGGTGGAATGCCGCTTCTCTGACAGGCTGTGGGACGGCTGTTTTCTCTTCTGTCGACTGTCGGACGGCTGCTGTCCCTTCTATCTACTGTCAGACAGGAAGACCCTCAGTCCAGCTGTAATGATGGTCTCAGACGAACCGGCCGCCACGCTCCGAAGACTGTGCACGCCGTCAATATGATAAAAATAGACGTCCTCTCCAATCCCAGGACATGAGGCGGAAAGATGCTGGCCGATGTTACGGACGACGCTACTTCGTGTTGAAGCGTAGTTTGAGATCATCTTATGTACCTGAAAGAGAAAGACAGGTCAGGCAAGCTGGAAGCATTTTGTCAAAGACGTGAATGGGGCCTGATTTTCTTTCGAACTCGTTATTGGAAGCTGATCAAGCGGCTTTATGTTATCGACCTTGTCTGGTCGTTACTTGGTGTTATGCTTATCGCATTGGTGTTATATTGTAGGCTTCATCGATGACTTTATAGTATTTGTGGATTGTAACGGCACCAAAGCCCTTTGGAATTCGTACCTAGTTTTGCAGTTGGCTGATTTCGACTTCTCTCGAACGTTTTATCGTTTCATCGGTCGAGCAGCGCATCACTGAGAAAGGAACACACAATCGTCACAAACATGAAAACGGAACAATGTGTAGTGGATTATCACGAACATTGTCGTTTACGTGAATTCATATCCGAACCTTTAATGAGGATATAGAAACGAGCAAAATCCGCTCACCTGACTTGGATGAAGTCTGCAGAAGACTGGCGCTCGTCGGCCACGTACCGGTCGGCCGTCCTCTTACCAAGCTTATGCAGAATCTCCGAGTTGGCGTTAATCTGTCAAGAACATGTTTGCTTTAGGTACTACTGATGATGGACTCTAGGATATTCAAGTCAATCTACATTATAATGAGCTAGAATGTTGTTCGCGGGTTAGAATTCAAACTCGCTTATTTAAAAAGACATTGGTGAGAGTGGCTGCATTTGGAACGCATCATTCGCTGCGTTACGTGATTGTTAAAACGAGGCGGCAACATCCTCGACCTACAGGTATAAAGTCTCTAGGTTTGGAGATAGTTCAATATAACCACCTAACACAAGCCTACGAGTACGTCTATCGGCTATGTGAATGCTCATCCGTCCCTCACCCTAGTCTGCTGTTGCTGCATGTGGCGCCGGACGAGCTCCAGCATGACCCGGCGCCGGAGCACCTGTAGAGGGTTGTTGATGGAGAGGTTCGAGCTGCCCGGCTGGAGACGAGAAGATGTTACAAGAGGTCAGCGGGGTCATTGGGGAAAATCGCATGGTGAACCTCTAGTTCAAAGTTTTCATTTCTACACACGTCTATGCATATTATGTATCCCGTTTAGTATCTTTCTATTCAAAGCTACCAAAGTTCTAGGCTATGCCTACTCAAGCTCAAAGAATGCCTAATTTATGCTCTTCGATTATCGATGACACATGGTTGAACGACTTGAAGCGTTCTAATTGGACAATCGTTGCCAATTTAGGCACCTACGCATAGTCGCTAAGCGTGCAAACCAAAGCGATTGATCGGTTGGCCGATATTTCATCCTTATTTGTTACGCATTAAATGGTTACCATCGGCATATAATTTGTGCCGGTTTTGGTCGAAAAACACATGTCAATTCAATTATCTGTAAGTACCTACCTCTCTCTTTCCTCTGTGCGGGACCTGCACCGCACTATTGGGCTGCTCCGGACTGGAGTTGTACGATCGCTGCTGCTGCTGTTGCTGCTGCTGCTGCTGCTGCTGCTGCTGCTGCTGCTGCTGCTGCTGCTGCTGCTGCTGCTGCTGCTGCTCCCCACCTCCAACCGGCTCCCGGACACCTCCAAGCCACGGCCAGGTCAGCCTGTCCGGTACGGCGCCGGACAGCGGCGGTAGGCGGCTGGACAGCGGCCCGGACTGCGACCCGGACAGCGGCCCGGACAGCGGCCCGGACAGCGGCGCAGACTGCGGCCCGGACTGCGGCGTCAGACAGATGTAGAACGGCGGCAGGCGCAGGTACAGCGGTCGCCTGGAGTTGTCGAACGTCTGCTCGGTGAGGTCCGCCGGTGCCGCAGAGATTTGACGCAGGGCGGCAGTGGCGGCTATCAGAAACCACAGCTTCAGCATGGTGGAACGACGCAACTGCAACGGCAAGGTGCAGCAATAGTCAGACAGATGTGCTCCAACGCTTCTACATGTCGTCAGTTGACATTTCTAGGCAGGGATGCCCTAACGGGCTAAGCCTGACATTGCCGGAGAGAGCCGCTTCGCTTTGCTGAGTTAAATGCACCATCCAGCAATTTTTGTTGCAAAATGATGTTTTTCAGCAGCGATGAGGAAAACACGAAGCAACTTAAACGATTATGCGGCAGTTGATGAAGTTAAAAATATCGGGCAATTGATGCTCATAAAACTGGTCAGGTAGACGTTTTATGACCCACGGCGGAAATCACTCTGCGATGCTAAGTTTCGCTTCTCAAAGCATTACAGCGCAATGGCATTATGATTGGTGTTTTTTGCTAAGTTTGACCCTAAAACTGTACACTTTATATTATTTTGGCAGATTTTCCACGCTGCTGATGGTGCTGTCGATTTCCGTGTGGCCCTGGACTGTTGACCCGCTCTTCCGCTCCCGCTACAGACCTTCAAAAACATCAGTGAACGACGAACGTAGATATCACTGAAACAGAGATTGAACCATTCGCATCGGTTCCTTTACATTACATGTCTTGTTACACCAGTCATACCTAATGCTTTTTTATTACAGTTTTTGACCAGCGCGTGCATGTCTATTGTTTTTGATTGGTGACAAAGCGTGCTTGGTTTGGTTTGCCTTGCCACGTACGGTTATACACAACGCATCCTCATCCAAATCCACAAACGGATCTTGTCGCACCCTGCCCTACTTAAAGGGACCCTCCCACCTTCAAAAAAGTAAATGAATTGGCATGAAAGTGATGTCGCTCGGTCCAGAAAGAGCAAAAAACGAATATCTACCAAATTTCATCGAAAAATATTCACCGGTTTTCAAGATATTAGACTTTTACTTTTGTTTACTTTTTGGGATCTCCGCTGTTCCTATAGCGACTTTATTTGAAAGTGCGGCATTTGTTGCGCGCAAAGCAGCATATACCACCGCGTGCTACAAAACGTTTTAGTCAAACATTTAAAAATCGTTAGATATCCGCGCTGACGTCACACATTCAGAGGGGTATTCCTATGCATTAGCCCCTCTGAATCAAAATGCTGCAATTTTGAAATTCAATATTTCCGCTTTAAGGCATTTCTCGATGTTGTGAGTGCCGAAACCGGTAATTGTGAGCCAGGGACCCCATTTTGGCTATCTCAACTCAAATCTAATGTTAAGGTGGGAGGGTCCCTTTAACCCTCGCCGGCCGAGGGGGGGGGCGGGTGCCGCCCCCCCCCCCCCCATAGGGTTTTTTCGCGATAGCTCCGAACACGCTGGCGATAGAGAGCTGAAACTTGGCATACCTGACCTTTGATCCAAGCCGCATCTTTTGACACCAACCGCATTTTTGGGTCAGGTCAGGTCACTGACCTATGACGTCATAAGTGAACCTCTGCACGGTCTTCAGATGTCGCAACTTCGCAACGCCCTCACTGCCAGAGGAGATGTCACAGGGAAATAAAACTTGCAGGATCTAGTATCCATTATGAGTCCCACAACTTGTATATCTCGGATTTTTCCTAAAGGTCATATGAGGTCAGGTCATTTTCGTGACCTCACCATTATAAGACAATGGGGAAAAATGAAAACTGCTGTTCTGGCGCCGGGAACGATCTCCAACTATCTCAAGCACACAGAATCGTGATTTTATGCACTCCTTGCAAGGTTAGATGCGTCACTTTTGCAATGTTGACCTTGCGTGACGTCATTTATGACGTCATCAAGGTCATATTAGTTTTTCGTCAATAACTCTTGATCAAATTGAGCTAGCGAGTCGGGAAAGCCACCAATGGACTCAGGAAGACCTGCCGAATCGAATGATATGCGACATGACCTCTTTCGACCAGCTTCGTGACCTGGGGGTGCTGACCTGACCTTGACCTGAGGTCAACACCCCAAGTTGACCTGACCCGGACAAAAAGTATATCATTCGATGCGCCTGAGCGAGACGAACACGATGCTGCCAAAATCGGCGCTCTGCGGCCGTTTTTTGCGAAGTTATTCACCAAAAACTGAACCGTACCTTGGTGCACTTGACCTGACCTCAGAGGTCACCGGTTGACCTAGGACCTTAAAATCGGGTACCAATCTCTGCGTCTCGTAACGGCGCACACGCTCGTTTTTTCCGCGACGCGCTAGCTCCACCAGGGGCGAAACGGCGAGGGGGGGGTCGAACCCGCCCCCCCCCCCCTCGGCCGGCGCGTATGTAGAAAACCAATAGGTCCGGCGAGGGTTAAGGGAGGCGGCGGCGAAACGTTCCATCATCTCCGAAAATGCTGGGCTGGGTACAAATTCACTCGGCAATCGATATTTTCGATTGCTGATTTTCTATGTCAGATATTTTCCATGTGCTTTCTAGTTTTAACGACGACATTGCTATCAATTGCTACAAAACTATTCAGGGGTCGCGTGACACATGTTTATGGCTGTAATCTTCCCATAACCGCCTAATATAACCTACCGCAATTATATTATGCCGATTCCTCAATGACGAAGCAGGAATTGTTTGTAATGTCGAGGTATCTCAGGATTCCTACCCGATTACCCAAATGTGGAAAATTAGGCTTTGTCGGTCACTGCCATTAACTTATCCCCAAGGCCATGCGGACGCGGTGTTGACTGTTATGTGCACATTTACTGCCGGCAATTGGGACACACCATAAATATTCAGGTCTATGTGTAGTTTTACCGAGGTCCCATGAGCCATTACACTGAAACCGAGGCCAGTTTCCTACTGGTGGGCCATGGAAACCTCAGCCATCTAAAAAAGGATTTACTCTGTGAGTCAGCATTTTACTGTTTTGTCCAGCAATGTTGACCGGACGAAAGGCACATATTCCCTGAGAAATTTCCACGAAGTCTTAAATTAATGGTAAAGTTGTGTAACGCTGACGCGCTACATTTTTAACGCAAATTTTCCAACATTCTCTCATGGCGACGACGGCGTGTGCACCGGGGTTTGGGCGCCGGCGCTGGCGTCACCGCACCGCCGCGCCGGCAAACAGCCCCCGGGCCACGCCGGACCAAAAGGGTACGGCCGGGGCGAGAGGGGACCCGGCCGTCAAAACAACCCGGGCGCAGAGGCGGAGGAAGGAGGAGAAGGAGGAAACCACGCGAAGACCAGGACGAACACCAGTACCTGAAGACGCCTCTGTCAGCCATGAGCAGCTGCACTGGGGAGCCGAGGGAGAACGAGGCCAGGGGGAGAGAAGAGGATAGTTGGGAGTCAGAGTCGGAGCGGAGAGTTGACGATCGACGGCAGGAGGCCGGCTGGGCCGGTCGGCCCGTGTGGCCGGACGGCCCTGCAGTACAGTCAGGGTTGAGGATTCAGCAGAGACGGGCCAAGGCGTCGGCTGGGCCCGGGCGGCCCTAACCGGCCGCACGGCCCGTCGGCCGGACGGCGCTACAGCACAGTTCTACCCGGGGACGAGTCAGAACAGCGGCTAGAGGAGGACCGAGCGGCGACAGCAGGACCCGATGGCCGGCAACCTTGAGTCACCAACAGCTTCAGCAGCCAACATCAGCCGACTAGCTGCAACCTCACCATCAGATCAAGGTTTGGACAGGATCTGGTCGGGCGCTGGGCTGCTAACCTTTCTGTCCTTTTGCCCAGTTCCGACCCACTGATGTTTCTCTCTAAAAAAAAAGGTTCCTTCTAATAATTGGTCTGGGCACAGTTAGGGGATTTATTTAGGATGTTTAAAATGTTAAACAAAAAGGGGGGGTGTATTCAACGGAAGCTGCGCTATCTGCTGTCTGATTCTGTAAATTGTCGACCACAATAATTTCATAAATGCTTATAATTGGGTAGCCACTAGCCATGTTTGGATATTGTGAATCATGAAGGAAAGGTTGGTAATTTAATCGGCGAAACTGTCTGGCTTTTCGCGCTGAACATATCTTTTAACGACAAGCTGTCCTAGTTATCGCGTAGGAATTACATTTTTTAACGTTGAATCTGTCTGGTTCCTTTAATTGTAAATACATAGCGTAGTAAAATGTAAACACATTTTTGATGAGGATGTGTTGATGATCGATCAATATGACGAGAAACCCAGGAATGTCACGGGGAAGCCGCGAGTACGACAGCGAAACACGGATCTGACACTGCATATTTAGGTGGTATATCTTTGCACTGTTTTATTAAATGCTTCTTCATCGAGAAACATTTGTTAGGAATTTAAGGTTTCCACTAGTTTTGGTAAGCATTTACGACGATATTCAGTAGGAAATTTTCAGCATTTGGTCGAGCTATTCCCGATACTGTAACTGAGAGCGAAACCAATTCATCGGCTTTTTGTACGCATGAGATCTTTGTTTATTTCTTATCCTTAGCAATCGACCATAGAATTGGGCACGCAGGCTGATAAACTCATTATTTTGTCCTTGAAGGGTTGCTTAATAATTAAACGCGCCAAAGTGTGATTATTCCTCGCTTCCGAAAGCATAAATATGTTTTGTTGTTGTTGTTCTTCTTTAGCTTAACGTCAACTGCTATTGTCCATTTATGTAGAAATAACTAGAATTGAATGAAATGGAAACGACTCTTGTCTGTTACAATGATCATCGGTACTTTTCTCTCACAGGAGTATAAATGTTAAATTATTTACTTCGGCTAGCGTGCATCTAATTATCATTGTGTTGCTGTTCTTGCATACGATTTTAATTATCTTTTCATGCCACGAACGATTATGACGTATGACTTAATTAGGTAACTGATAGCAATTGCGATCACAAACAGCCGACAAAGGATAGTGCTCCTCACTGACAAGTAATGAGCCCCAGCGCCCCAGTGACCGTCTCTCGCTCGGCGGCCGCGCTGCCGGTCCCATGTTTTCACGGCCAGCCGCCGCGCCGATTCACCCCTCGGAATGCGTAGTGGGGGAAGGACACGCAGGGGGGAGGGGACGCTCCGGCCAGACGGCGGCGCACAGTCGCCGGCCGGCCCGC